GGGAGGGAGGGGAGGCACACAATTATCTGAGATAAGTTGGGAGCGCTGCAGCAGCAGTGGTACAAACGGCCGAGGCGCTATTGAAACATTTTGTATTTGTTATATTTTTTTTTCTAATTTTAAAACATGGCATTGCGTTTTGAAATGTAGGCCTATAAAATGTTGTGGCGGAACGGGATGGGGAGGGACATGTTCCCAATTTTTGGATCCTCCCCTTAATTCATACAGCTTGTCTATGAAACCAGTTGTCCCAGATGGAAACCAAGAGAAGTGATAGGTTAACTCACTGTAACGCTGCTACTTGCGTTATGTATTGGTTCGCTTTAATTCAACACAGGTATAGAGATACCAAAATGTTACAAGTCTGAATACCAGAACTGTAACTCACGGGGCAAGACCACTAAATCTACTAACTATGGTAGTTGATTAATTGGATAGACTCTAATGCCTATGCCTACGAAGATATAGAATGGTCAACATGGAATTCACAAAGTAAGACTTATACTGGCTCTCAAATGTACCGGCCCTACGTAAAATAATGTGATTGTACCTAATAACAGTGTTTAAAACCAAGATTTCCCCCTATTCTAAGTTTGATCTAATCATTACTTGCGTTCAAGAAACAGTTTACTCAAAATTAAAGAACGGGATGACAAGCGGCCAACCTCAAAAGAAATACGTAATTGAATTTACACGAATCTTTTCACGCCGTTCCCTTTGCCTAATGATTAAATTTACACTATCGCCTTACAGGTTTTAATAAGCTTATTAAGGCTTTTGTCTCTCATCCTCCGTTATACACTACCGGTTACCCACGGCTGTTTACATAGCAAACACTCAGTAAGCTATCTGTTTTAGTTTCCCCCTTTGGCGAAGCTGAGCCGCCCTAATTTCTGGTACAGACTGGGAGGTATTGAATATAGTGTACGTCGTAAAGAAAGGTGTAATACTGACGATTCCTCCCCTCCCCGGCCATTTATACTATCACTATTTTAATCAAATCCATTTCCACATGACATGTATTTTCACACTTTAGACCGCGCCAATCCTGTAATTAGTAATTTCTCATTCCTAATATGCTAATACCCATAATTACATTTATTGTCAATTTTGAGGTATGGTATTGTTTGATTTTGACGCAGCGATTCAAGAACTGAGTTCTAGCAAGTAAATTCATTAAGGTGGGGGGGAAGGGATGAGGTTCAGTACAGTGGCATTTTGAAACAGCCACAGACTGTGGCATTTAGGAAACGGAAATGCCTCTAAGCTATTTTAGGCTCAACTACAAGTTCATTTAACTTTGACATCGGCAAAATACGAATTTAAAATGTGCACGTGATGCAAAGTAATAAATATGTTCCTTTTCCCCATTTCCATGTTTTGGATTTGTTTCTATTGAGGTGGGCCTGACACGCGCCAAGCATGTAGAATGGAATAGAATAATAGCTATATACCAAGTAATATAATGCTGTGGCTTTGGGTGGATGTGATGTGTCGGTTTAAACCGAGTTTGTACACAGAAGGGGAAACATATGCTAACAGCATAAATATCTTATACAGTTGTTAATACTGTATGATAAAAACGAACGTAATATTCTGAAAATGAAGTGTAGTGTTAATTTAATTGAGTTAGTACTTTGTTTACTTACTAGCCTACTAAATATTTAATACTTTTTAGTCTGGTTCACAAGAACCATGGTATAGTATCTTTCATTCTTTCATATAGTTTTTCTACAAGGGCATTATTGTATTTTATTTATTTCAGTTCCGACTTTATTTTATAAATGAAACAAGAAAATCTTAAGTAAAAAATTCTAAACACAAGCAACACTATGACGCATTACACATTCTGTGGGTTAAACATTTATTAGTATTTCTACATGAGGCATGAAAAAAATACAGTGTCTCTCTTTACCAACATAATGATAACAAAAAAAAAGTTAGGAAATGATAGCGTGTCCAGCAATATGCAATTTAAATTAATATCCGTTTGCTTTCAATTATTACTTTTACAAATGTGGAGCAAAGGTCTGAAACGTTGGTGGCGCACTTCATGTGAAAGATCATTTTGCAGCATTGGCGCATGCTGTGGATTAGTTAACATTAAAACACAAATCATAATTTAGTAGCCGGTGCAATAACAGAGAATATAAAATTACAACGAAAAAAATGTTATGCTAATAAGCTGCAGTAAATGGACAAATTGAGCATTCTGTAAATGAATGACCTTGCTAGAAAAGAACACAAGCTTGGACACTTCACTACATGCTACTAAATGTGAAATAGATTCTAAAATATTAAATGCTGCTCATCCGAGCCCTTCAATTCAATAATTTTTTACCCACGTCAAAGATCCATATCATTGACTAAATTTGACAAGAACCGTTGAATCGGTGGTGGAATCATAAATAGAAAAAGAAAAGTGGCAGAATTTTTAGATTGAAGGAGGGGAATTGGGGTCTGTCCTCATTTTAGGACGTAATAACATTTATATATATTTTTTTTCCCCATATATCTCTGATTTAACAGATCAACAATTAATTACAATTATAGATAATGGCACCACCTATCTCTATCGTGCATAATTCCACCACTGACTCAAAAAGAGAGTTGCAAACAATGTTCACGTTTCATTAAAAAAAATTAAAAAAAACCATACAAGAACTATTAAAAAAGATCCGTACACAGAATTAAAAAAAATATGATGTCCTCCTCTACATTTATCAACATAAAAACAAAAATGTAATATGAAACCACATTGTCACTAATAAAATAACAGAAAAATTGCACACAAAAATACATGAGGCCACCATGTAAAATCTCCTTTGAGAGTTTAAAATGTTAAGATCATCATAAAAGCATTCTAAAATAGGAATAACATTTTGAAACTATTTTTCCTATTAACTGAATAAGGCATAAGAAGATGAGTACTTCTAGATTTGTTTAATTTCATAAAATGAAAAACCATAAACTAAATGTTAACACTGCTATAGATGTCATTATACAGTGTAATGCTTATTAAATACACCAAAGCAGAGTACATTTACTTTTTAACTCCCATTACTATGGAATAAAAATCCCAGTTTAAAATCACCCATTTCCCCAATCTACAAGCAATCAACAGCAACCCCAGAAAATCTATAGCCTGTATTTCCCTCCCAGCATGGGGCACCATTACATTTGTACCCCTGCAAACCCACTTCCCAGAAAACCCTCAGTAACTTACAGCTTACAAGCTCTCCAAATTTATCTGCTTACTAATTTCCTTCTATATATGAACCTTTCAAAATATAACCAATTTACAACAACTGGGGAATTTGATAGCATATATCAATTTCAGTTTTTTAAAACACATTCAATATTACTAACATGCCTACTTCTTAGCTTCTTAGCCTACAGACATATGGCATAATTCTATACGATCCCTACAACTTGAATGGAGACTCTACCCAAAACCATGTTAAGTTAATGGAGTAACGCCCAATAAATAAGTTACTGATCCTTACTATCCCAATACAAACTCTTGGAAAAATTGTTAGGTGATCTAAAGGGAGTAAACTTGCTATGTTCATACTGTATATGATTTGCATTAAAAAAAGATATTTAAGGTAAGCCATTATATTATTATTGCTGGAGCCAACCCTTAAATGAAAGGTGGGAAACTCCATTATCGAGTACACTTGCTGGGTAAGTTGGAAGTAAAAGTTTGGTGTTGCATCTTTTTTAGGGGGAGGGGGTAGATTGTTTATTTTTAATAATCTAACAAGCTTCAGAATAGCATAAGTATGGACTTATTAAATATTGAAATAATACATTTTTGCAAGCAGTTATTTGTTTAGTTAACACTTGCATTATACATTTTATGTGCTGGTCAATATCTATTTTTATTGACTATTGAATCATTATTAGTACTGGATAAATTTTACAAGTATTATTCAATTATACTTTGATATTCCGAGCCAATTAAATCCCATATAGCAACTGGTTCTTTATATGCTCTAATTGTTAAAATGTAATCCGATAATCAGTTTTTCTGTCTAAAATGTATTTTTTTAAATATATATTTAACAGCATTCAACATGAATTTATGAAGTATATATAACAAAATGTGGACCAGTTTATTCAATAGTTTTCGGAATCTCAAGGAACCTGTATTACGTAAATGTCATGAATCTTGGAAAACAATGAAAAGTTGCTTAAGCATACAGAGGTTTGCAATAAAAATAGCTTTCACAAAATGTGTATCTCAACTCTGTTTTCACTCCAATCAAAGCAGCACAGAGGGAGGCATAATAGAGGCGAGTGGAACACCACAGAGGGAGAAATATTTAACAGCTAAATTTATAAATTTTTTTTTTTTTTTTCTTAAATTGTTTTAAGAAGTATTTAAGGGCAAACTAGTGATGTTAACATTTATGGTAATAGTTTGTATATTATGGATGGAACATTGTTTAAAAGCCAATATGTAACGTACTATGTATAGACTAAAGACTAAATGAGGATGTTATTTATTATTGTATGTTTTATCTCCCCAAAGATAGTCATGGTCATGTAGGAATTATGAAACATTTTTATTCATTAAAATTTACTTGAGTTTGTATACTGCATGTACATATTGAATTCTGATCAGGTTACTATAATTTAACAGAATTAAATAATTCATTAATTCACCAATTTCTTTCTGTTTTGTATTAATTTCTTCTACTATAAAAAAAAAATATGTACACATGTTATAAGGTTTGAAATGATTTTAGCATTTGGAAGCTTTGGCAAGGCCTGTGGGTAGGCCGACCATTAAGCCAATGCTTTAGTATCAGTAGCTACCATCATCACTTACTTGAAGCTGGAGCTAATTAACTTGCATCCGATCTCACGTTAACTGTCACGCATCTTCTCACGCACACACTGCACCACCAACACGGGAGGGCGCTGTGCACGTTTTGATCCTCAGACATATCTTGTCTCGTCACACTCGCAGACAAACTTCTTATTTTATTTTTTTTTCTCTCACTAGCACACTGTCACATTCTAATTACACAACCACAGGTGGCACATGGTTGCAGTGTGGCACCACATGACTGCCACTTGGGCATGTCACATGGTCAGCATCTACTTCTCACATGATCATCATCACATGGCTACTCTCACACACAGCTGCTCCAGTTGAGCATATTTTAAATGGATACCAGAGAATAACCAGTATTTTTGAAAACGAGAGGAACTCTCCTCGAGAAGTGTCAAGTGGAGATAACTAGCGACATTCGTAAATTTGTTTCCTGTCTATGTTTCTGTTCGTCTTGCCTATCATTCACTTAGAACTTAAATCCTTCCTGTGGTATCGCAGCGCTTGCCTCAAACTGAAATCCTTGGGGTTCCGTCTCTGGGGCAAGAGCAGGGTCCTCATCAGTAAGCTAAGATAGAAAAAAATTCATTGATATTATTGACATAAATATATAAATTAAAATTAAATGTATAAATTAAAATTAAATGAAATTGTCCTTTTTGTTTAATTTCAAATTTGAAACTGGAAATCAGGACTGAGCCCCCAGGGATCCGCAGAAGCCACAGTGCATTGCCAGTACCGAAAATACTCTATATATGTTCAAACCTGGGTTGGTGGGCCTTGGCAATAAATATTTTTACAGTTAATTAAAATAAAAATGTTATGATATAATAACAGTAATAAGAATACCAGTAATACAAATAACAAAAACAACAGTACAGTAATAGCAAAAAAAATATATATAAAAACAATTTTAAAAAAATATAATTAAAAAAAAATTATAATTGGTTTTTGTCATTACTTACATCTCCTGAAAAATAGGTGTCAACAATTTCATAAGCTATCTTGTAAATCTCAACATTCTCATGGTGTTGTAAGGCTTCAATGTTATCCAATCCTACAAAGTCAAAAAACATAATAGAATTGGCAGTCAATGGTATACAGTACAACAAAGTGTATGTAAAAAATATCCAATTTTATTTACTTGGGATTGTATTATATGATTCATTACTGTGTGGTAACACTGTTGCCTACCAATTGTTTTCTGTCACAAATGGGCTATTCTTAAGTTGACAAGGGAGGGACGCCGCTAAGCAGAGGTGGATCCAGAATTTTTCAAACGGGGTTGGGGGGGGGGGGGTGGGCATCTCCTGAAAAATAGGTGTCAACAATTTCATAAGCTATCTTGTAAATCTCAACATTCTCATGGTGTTGTAAGGCTTCAATGTTATCCAATCCTACAAAGTCAAAAAACATAATAGAATTGGCAGTCAATGGTATACAGTACAACAAAGTGTATGTAAAAAATATCCAATTTTATTTACTTGGGATTGTATTATATGATTCATTACTGTGTGGTAACACTGTTGCCTACCAATTGTTTTCTGTCACAAATGGGCTATTCTTAAGTTGACAAGGGAGGGACGCCGCTAAGCAGAGGTGGATCCAGAATTTTTCAAACGGGGTTGGGGGGGGGGGTGTGGAAACAGCAATATCAGAATTGGTACATGAGTACCATTGCATTTTTATGTGGAAAAGTAGGAGACTAAACCAATGCTAAGGTTTAATTCAGCCTCTGACATAGAGGAATCATGTGTCAACATGGAGTTACTAAGCGCCTCTCTATGGCTGACTATAATAGTCGCGTATCACACCCATGTACAATTCAGCACAATGACGGTTGAGTTATGGGTTATTGCACCTTTATAAACGATAATTGCTGTAAGAACTACAATTTATACTAAATTTCATTTAAACACTTATACAGATGGCTAACCATAAATTATAGTTTGAAAATCATTGTAAAATAATATATGATTAAAAATATTGAATAAAAAAATGCAATGTTTACCTTTGCACTCTTCAATAGTATGGATAACCTGCTGACTCAGCTCACCAGAAGCTTTTAATATGTTGTTGATAGCGTCAATGACGACCTGAACGACCTGAGTGTCTTTAACTGTCAGCAGGTTACACAGTGGTACCACTACACCGTGTTCAATACAATAGCGAATCTGCTCTCGCGTTCCACTGATTGTTAGGTTACTAATTGCCCAGGCACCTTCCTTTTGGGTTTGAAATTCACCCTACAATGAAAAATAACCAAACCCTGTAGGTGTCAAAGTTGCTTTGAAGTTGATGATTATTGATAATAAAAAACATCAAGCATTCAACACGTTCACTGCCATGGACTCGAGGTCACATCCGACAGTGTTCACTCAGGGCACCACGGAAGTGAGTTCACGTCCACACCTTTATTGCACATAAGTCGCTGGCAATGGTTGCCAGAACACAAACTCTCGCCCTAGGGGTTCAGGGAAGAACCTGGAAGTGATGATCTACATAAAAATATTGTATGTTTGTTCGTGTTCCATTACAGTTGATGGGAATAAATTTCATTATGGTGGCACCCTTTATGCCTTGGTGTATGGAATAAAACTAGGCCCACTCACGTCACTGTTCGATGCACAGCATTGAATAGAGTACCTTATTTGTTTACAAGGATATTTCAGAAAGAAATGCAAACACCAAAGTGAATAGAGTATTTTTGGGCTTATTTAAAAATATGATCAGATATTAATAATTATACAATAGGGTAAAAAGAATTTGAGTGCTTTTCCACGGACTATCTAAAAACTCTCACAACCATCTCGCAGGTATAAAGTGAATTATTTAAGTCTTATAATTTCTTCCTCTAACTTTGCAAAAATGGATGTAATATCTACTGTACTTGTTAATGAAAAACAGATTTTCTTAATTTTGAACTTTAAATGTTTTATATATAAACACAATTTTATATTATAAGCATTTGTATCAACAATTATTTTGGTTCCCTTTTGGGGTGCCCTGTTTCATATTTGTTTATTGCTTGTTCCTTGCTGTTTCTATTCTTGCAAATTTTAATGGTTTTGAGACAATAAATTAAATGAAAATTGGTAACTAAGACGATGTGAAAAGGGATTATGGTGTGACAAGACCTTGGAGATAGCATTGAGCCTACCAAAAATGAACACCGAAAATAAAATACTTACAAACTCTAATAGATTAATAACACGAGGGATGAGATTAGCATCAATAACCTGTTGTACTTGCTGTTGATTTCCAGCAGTTATATTTGATAAAAACCACACAGCCTCCTGAAAAACACAAGCATAAAACAATCTTAGCAAAATAATGACTTTAGTAATTTGGTATAAAATTGTACAGTTGGCTGGACTCGATTAGTATTTACACTATTTTTCAGCTCCATTCTACTTTATGTTTTATAACTTGTATATGAGAAAATATGTATATTTATTGGTAAATAAATTTGACTTGACTTATAGTGATCTATTACATGAATATTTTTTCATTACGAGTTGTTTCTTTATTGTGGATTGATAGATTGTCATGACATAGGTACTGCATGTCTACCTGCTTTTCATCATCATTTCAATTTTCAGTGCAAGTCTTCTGCTAGTTTGTTATTGTTATCTTGGATTTAGTTAATTCTTTACAATGTCCTAATAAAGAATGAAACATTAAAGCAATTATGGCCTCACAATCCTCATCTTCATATCTACAACTAATCCGTGGATCTTTTGGTAACCTGTTGTTTATATTAATGGCATTTATTTCCTGTCTTTTTTTCCATACAATTATCTAATCAACAATTGATTATCTTCATTTAAACAAAATGAACAAAACAATTAAAATATTGAATGAAAGGCCCATTTTACCTGCTTACCAGACATAAAAACTTACACATTTTACTAAAATAAAAACAATGTATTACAATATTTATTATGAATTAAAACATAAAATAACAAAAATAAAAAATTATGATTGTCAAAAAAGAAAATAAAAAATCAACTTGGCAGTACTGGGAAAAATGCTCTACCATGACAAGCAGTCAGAGGCTTCAAGCATTTCTCTAGATGCATTTTACATTGTTTTTCTATAATACTTTTGTTGGGTTTTGGTTAGTACAACGATTGGTGCTAAAGACATTTATCATATTTTTCAGTTGAGACACAAAACATTTTTTTTTCCGCGAGGCCTGCCATTATCATTGCAAACTAAATTTTGCACTATAAATATGTATGCAGATGATACAGCACTGTATTATTCATCTAGGTCAACTGACGATATAGTTAATATATTAAACAATGATCTATTTTATATAAATAAATGGTTAGATAAATCAAAACTTACATTAAATGCAAATAAATGTGAATTTATGTTATTGGGCATACACCAAAAACTGAGGAAAGCAGATGATGCCAACTTAAACATTTCTATCAATGGAGATCAACTAAAAAGAGTGTTCAAATGTAAATATTTACGGGTGGTCATCGACCAAAATCTGAATTTGGTTGATAATATGAAGGCTGTTTGTTCAAAAATCTCCAGTGGCATTTCTGCCATAAAAAGAGCAAGAGATTTTGTCCCAAAAAAAATTGCCTTAATGTACTTTATAACACAATTGTTTTCCCTCACTTTGAATACTGCAGTCTTGTTTGGGGTAATTTCGGGAAAACCCTAAGCGAAAAAATGCAAAAGCTCCAAAATAGAGCAGCGCATGTTTGTACTGGTGCAAGTCGGTATACTCCAACTGAAACAATATTTTCAGATTTGGGTTTGGATAAATTTTTGCACCGGAGGGCAAAGCCACTAGTATATTTATGTATAAAGCTTTAAACTCCCTGGCTCCTCCATACATAGAAACTATGTTTGCTTATAAACCCCGATGTAAATATGATCTACAGAGAAGTGGAAAAGAGCTTGAACTTCCTAAGCCAAATACTAATGCTAAAAAGAGAAGCATATCATATAGAGGTTCTTCTTTATGGAATTCTCTTAACTACAATCAACAAATCTCCAAAACGCTCCGTGCCTAATGTGTTGTGTACTAAATGATAACAAAATAATAATGAATAATAATATTAATAATGGTTTTGGCAATAATGGTGATAATAATAATAATCTATTGCGCATTTTGCCTACAATTTTTTTCACTGTCTTTTATGACTTGTTTCTGGCTTTTTGATTAAACATTTAACTTTCTTTGAGTTATATTTTAAGCTTTTTAGGATGGTTTTTAAGTGTTTTTATGATGTATTTGCTATTTTGATGTTTTTATTAACCTGTTGTTCTGGTAGTTATGGTGTTTTAATCACGGTCTTATGGTAGAACAGTAAGAATTATTGAGTAAGTTTTCGTGAATAAAGTGACTATACTATACTATACATTGAGTTTGTTATCATCATTCAAGAGTTGACCAATTAATTGATAAGTTATTGCAAATGATATTCCTTTAGCCCCAATACAATCAGTTGAATCTGTTGTGTACTCTATTTGTATAATGTCCAAAAGTCCAAATTACATGCACCCCATTAAATGATAACATCACTTCAGAAAATAAACATTTAAGATCATAGATAACTCATAGCAGTTATGTTCAGACAATCTTCTGTCTGAAGTAAAGTTACGACAAACGTAAAATTTTACGCGCATTTTACTTCCGATGATTGTCCACACGATGTTTACCCAGGACAACTAGTTCAAAGCTTAGAAGTAACTGTGCAAATTTTCCGGAAGTGATAGTCACCACTTCGCTGTCACTTAACAGTTATTTTGCATATATTTTCTTTTGGAAATTGTAAACAATTATGAAAACATCGTGTCTACAAAGGCTTACATATCACAGGAAATTTTATTTTGGCACTTATTTGTAGGTATTTATTTTTTGAAAATTATTAAGGTCAAAATACAGGTCGCATTTACTTGCGAGCTCTGAAGAAAGTGTGTCTACACAGCGGTACTCTGAGTGCATATTCTTTATCTTCCTTGTGTACAAGTAAGTAGCAGACTTACTCCAGAGACTTGTTTCTTGATTAAAATAAGCACAAGCCAATAAACAATTTAAAATGATAATACAGACCTCATACATTTTAGTCTTATTTCTTGATTCAAATTTTGATAAAATAAAAAGAAGGTTAGTAAAACATTACAATCAAATTTTAATTGTACTTATTATGAATGTGTAATAAAGAAAAAACATCACCCCAATGTACTGTAGGAAGAGCATGCATGTAACTTCACTGTTTCTATCTTTTATCAGAACCTACTGTATGTAATTTAGCTAATAATAAAAATGAAATTTAGGTACTGTAGCTATTATGTAACATAAAAATAATAGGCAAAAGAACAAAATAAAAATATAAAATCGAGATATGCAGGTGATTTTGAGAAGAATGCTGGTTTATTACTATAATTTTTTTTATTATGTTCATTGCATTTATTTGACTCCATAATTACCTTATTTCTTGGTGGTTTTTAATTTGCAATTAACAAAACAACAATAACAATTAATTAATAACAGGTTTCTAATTCATGAAAATAAAATGCACTATTAAAAACAGGAATGAAGGGGACTCCCTTTTCTGTCAATGCATACCTTATTGATCTTTTCTCTTGTGTGGTTGAGTAATCCTGGGAAGTGACTGAGGGCATTGCAGTTTAACACAGCTTGAGTCTGTTCATCGGTTCCCGTCACTATATTTCCTATTGCTCTCAATGCTGCCGTCTTTAAGCACAAAAAAAAAATTTAAAAAAAACACAAAAGTGTATTTAGATAGTTCTTTTGGAATAGTTCTTTTTTTAAATAAAAAAAAACAACAAAAACAAAAACAAAAAACAAAAGTGTATTTAGATAGTTCTTTTGGAATAGTTCTTTTTTTCATTTTATTAAATTGATTTCATTCACAACCAAAAACAGGGGTAACAATCTTGACTAAGAGATAAATCAACAAAACACCAAAATTTTAGCATAAAAAATATAGAATTTCAAATCTACTTTCAACCATTTTATTTGCTGAAAGCAATATTACAGTGGTTTTGAACATACTTTAATTTCCATGTGGTGGTGGGAGTGAGGGATGGTAGCCTAACTACGAATACAAATAATCTTTTCTTGTCTTTTATAAAAAACAAAAGAAAAGCATCCTGGTAAAAATAAAATATTAATACATTACAATCCAAATAGAAAAAATCTGAAAAATTCAATTACATCTTCAATGTCTGTTAAAAATAAACACAAGGAGTCTACACCACACAAAAGTACTTTGTAGTACAATAACAATTACGTATTCCTCCATCCGAACAGAGTTCGTAAATGAGAAAATTTGTAATTGAGAGAGTTCAAAGCGTTTTTGTAGTCAAAAATGATTGTTCGTAATGACGTCATCACTGCAAATTGGGTTCGTAAAATTGATAGTTTGTAATTGGGAGGTTCGTAATTGGGAGATGTTACTGTATGAATACATCAAATCCAAGGCGACTTACTAATTTGCTAACAGTATCATTTATGACAAATGCTAATTTATACAAAACTATGAAAACAAATGGTGGATACATACCTGTACCTTGACTTCTGTGTGACTGAGCAGAGGAACTAGCATTGGAACAACAAGTGATTCAATTACCATCTGAATCTGCTCATTGCCTCCATCTGTCAGGTATGACAATGCCCACACTGTGTCTACCAAAATCTATTGAAATTAATGAAAATGACGGCGTCAGTAATAATGTTACTATGCCTCCACAGTGACAACCTAAAAAATCTAATTATTAATAATATTAATAATATAGACCGTTGACTGCACTATGTCTACCAACACTGAATTAAATTAATAACTGCATCTATAAAACTCAAATAAAAAAACCAGGATTCAATATTAATTCTAATTAGTTTTAAATAAAAAATCTTCAAAATGTCTCTCTTTTCGGAGTTACTGTGTTTTTTTCTTAAATTCAAATTATTAATTTCAGTAATAGTAATGCATTGTAAGTGTTGTCTGTTTTACTGTCCTTATTCCTAATTCCAAGTTTGTAAATCTATTTCATATGGCTTGCCTTATGACAATAAATGATATCTGAATCTATCTGAATATGTAGGCCTACTATACAAAACACAATTTAACCAAATCAATGTACTTTATAGTGATTGCATGCCCCAAACAGAGAGAATTCCTCGACTAATTCTTCTCTAAAACCCACTTAAAAGCAAAATCAATGTGTATGTGTCTCTGATAAAGCTATTTGCATATATTCAAATCTGATTTAACAAGGACCAAATTCAAATACAAAAGATGTCAAATGTAAACTTACATTTACATCTCTGTGTTGAATGAGAGCATAGAGGGCTGGGAGTATCTGTCGAATCGTTTCAATATGTGGAGGTGGGTTCTTATTACGGCATAGATTCACAATCACCCACGTGACATTGCGTAAGAAGGACAGTGGGATATTGGGGTTAATGAACTTAAGGAGAGGTTCCACAACTCCGAGACTGATCACATAATCTCTGCATGATGGACCATCACCTACATAAAAACAAAAACAATGGTTATCACAATGATGATGACAACGACGACTACAATAACGATGGTGGGGATTGTGATGATGGTGGTGGTGACATCTCTGATGACAGTGTGAGGGATGATGATGGTGGTTATGACAGTGGTGGTGGCAGTAATCATGATAATCATGGTGGTGGGTAAAATATAAAATAAAAAAATAAACATGATATAACTGTTGACACTAAATATCTTCTTAGTTTATGCATTATTCACACACAAAATTAATTAAATATATATAAAATCAGCTCACCAATAATGTTGCCTAGTGCCCAGACTGCCTGCTCACATACATTCTGATGTGATGAATCCAGTAGTTGTAAAAATAGCGGAACGGCTCCAGCATGTACTACAGCTTGTGTCTGTGTCGAAGTACCTGATGCAATGTTTGTGAGAGCCCAAGCAGCTTCAAACTGCAGAGATGGACTGTAAGACAAACATACATATTGACAATTATCAGCTAGGTATATAAGAAAATATTGTGTCAAGCTGAGGGGTTAAAGGTAAAAGTTTAAATTACTTAATTTGTGTTTCATTTTGTTAAATTTTAACATCTTTAAGATCATCCTACATTTTGGCAAACACAAGGTACTTGCTGTTGGGAATGAAATGAAACAAATTCACATCAGATTTAAGGATCAATTGTTGTTTTGATATTGTAATAATCCTTTCAATACTACTTGTCTTTTGACATTGTGCATTTTACTAAATTTTCCATGAGCATCAGCAAGACATTGTATAATGTTTTTCATGTTGAACAGTACTGTATCAATACTTTTCTGTTTTTAATGATATAAGCAGAAACTTACAATAAAACAATACAGTATAACATTATACAATAGACACTTACTTGTCATTTCTTGTAAGACACTGTACTAGGATAGGCAAGATACCAGATTCTATGAGTTGATCAATAGGTGGGTTACGGTCACTTGATAGTAGTTTCCTAGCAGCTTGGATAGCTGTTAACTGTACCTCTGGTTCTGGACTTTTAGCATCGTGTACAATACTTTCTAGATCTGTATTCTGGTAATTAAGGAGAGAAAATTCAGATAAAGTTATAAGTACTGGTAAACCTTGAAAGTAAACAAATGATCACCTTATGTGTTTTTGAGTAAGCACATATGTACTTTTGGTTCATGGTGATATATTCTTATTCTTATTCTTTATTGGCAATCAAGACAGCTGGATGGGAAGTTCTGGTCTCTAAGTAAACTTAATTACTATAACAATGTCAGAGAACCACTCCCATCTAGTAATTACAAATATATGTCCTTAAAATTTAATATAAACACTTAAATATACTGTACATCACTCAAAAAGTACAGAAAAATTAAATCAGTAAAATGAATCAACAAGCATAATTATAATCATTAAATATACCATTTCCATCGATCATCATTAAGATCAGTTAATTTTTATTTTACAATTTTGTCCTCAGTAGCCATCATCTTGTCACTGACTTTGGTTGGAAAAGTGTAAAATCAAATGCTACTGTACAATAATGTCGTATGGTACCACTGTGCAGTACCGTCACAAACTATTGCAATTTTACCTGCGCGCAGGCTTCGTAGATACATCGTAGCCTGATATAAACAATAAGCAAGGCTACGCGAAGCGAACCTACGAAGCAAAAGCATGTTGTTTATTTGTATGTGCAGAAAGACTGCTGTAGCTTACTGGAATAAACAATGTATTGATTGATAATTATTTTGTGAATGACAAGCACGAGTTTAGACCGTTAATTTAAAGTATGGAGTTGTTTTTCAAGAAGAAAAACGTACACTTGACTTCCTGGGAGTCTCCTCTTCCACTCGCTGTCCACGACAGGAACTTGTTTGTACTGCTGTATTATTTTTTTTTAATTAATTAGCATAGGCCTAGGTCTAGCTATTTTTTACTTACAATTATTTTACCTCTTTTAAATGTCAAAAAATGATGTCCTCTATGACAATACACACATGTGAAAAGATTGTTCATCAAATAATATTTTGTAGTCTTGATTTAGTAAGATAAATAATAAATATAAAGGAGAATTCTCCGAATTGGAAAGTTTACCCGTATAATTATTGTCTGCTCTCCTCCTCTATAGGGGAAAATGAAGGCTGTACGTCGTATACGTGGGCCTAAATGACATCGAAATTCGAACACACTGAATTTCCACTAGGTTACCTAGCTAGCGAACTAAACGCAGTTTTAAAACATGATCGATCTAATAATAAGGTAGGATATAACAAAACAATAAAGTTCTAACATTGTTTATTAGTAAATTGCAACATTGCTCACGTGTTGAAAGCTGGTAAACTATATTTCAGTATTGTTTACGCATTGTTTATCAGGCCGACAATCCAGCCTATGATCATTGCAAAGCTAATTAAAATAACAATGACCTTCGTAGTGGTTCGTAGCTACGTTTAAAATGTACCTACGAGCAGATTACAAGAGGTTACGCACAGATACGAAGCGATAATTTGTGTCTGTACTGTATTTAATCATACAAAATTAATGTTTGTTTTTTGTTTTTGTTTTTCCTGTTATCCCTGTCCAGCATTTAAATTTTTTACATACATTTTTAAAGAACCAAATAAAAAACCATCAATCTTTTAACACAAAGCTAACCCTCTAATTGGAGACTGAACCCCAAGACCACACCAACAATTTCAGGTCCCAAAGTGGACTTACTGTAATAAATTAGAAGAGCGAACTGCACATGTTGGTCAAAATAGTAAATAAAATGAAAAAAAAATAAATATTAAAAATAAGGGCTTCAAATTTATTTATTAAAATACTTTCTTTTGTACCAGACAGATACTCTATGTACCATGCTTAAACTTGTGTAACAAGTGCACAATGACCTCAGTATAATCTTCAGTAAATAAATTAAAAAGTAAAATTAAAAAAAACAATCAACTTGATTTTTACATCATATAATGGAATAGGAATGAATAATAGATATTACCACTGGTTTTTCATCATCTTCTTCTCCTGGTTCAAGTTCAGGGACATTCCTTCGTTTTAAAATTGCTTCCACTCTTTTGTTTTTTCTTAGCTCAACTGTAACTTCATTTCGACGTCTTCTCATTTCCTAAAAGTAAAATAATAAACAGTTTTTTTAATCCTTTTCTTTTTTTATTTTTCAAATATTTTGTTTTTAATTTTGAAGTAGATAAAGACAGACTATTGTTGTATTCAAAACATTTACTGTATACAGTATCTACTTCAATTGTTTGAACACTTAATTGTAACCAAGGTTGTCACCAATCAAAATTAATGCAACTGCTTCAGTAACATAGGATAAGTTATTTACAGTTAAATTTTAAAATAACTATACTTTCTCAGTGGGAGAATACCAGTACCTTCATTAATTGACCTACTGTATACAGCAATAAATACTCATTTTACAATCTATCCAATTTAAAAAACTATACATAAAATTCAAATCAGTTAAACAGGTAATATACAATAGTAGTATGCTGCAATCAAATAATATGTATTATCATGGTAATGGTGGTTTGATACAGGTAGAGCCTGATTTCTGGCCATGTTCCAACACAAACAAAAGAGTTACAGTTATTTACTATTAACTACTGTATATACGCTACTGAAATTTTCCTATGGCTTACTTGCAAAAAGGTTTGGCATACAACTTAAGTTTATAGGAAGTAGAATTTTGATGACTAAGGCCCAAAGAGGAGGAAATTTACCTTATCCAACACTGTTTAGTCACGAAGAATTCCCATCGACTAATTCTGACATGACAAACTTCAATGAATCATACACATTTCAAAACAAAACTAGCCTACTGTAGTAAGTATTGCCAAACTTTTAAGCTCTGGACTGATGTAGTCGGATATTGTTTGTTGTTAATATTGAGTGTGGGTTATGTAATTGGAAGCCACTGTGTGTGTGTGTGTTATGACATTCAGGGGCGGATCCAGTGATGTCCGAAAAGGGGGATAAAATTTGGGTTGAAATTGGGGCCCACAAAATGTTTGTTTTCTAGACTCCCGAAATAATCTCTGCGACATTTTGGGTGATCAATTATTTCTTTTTCTTTCTTTCTTTTCTTTTTTTAACTTTCCAAAAGAAGGGGGGGAGGTGAGGTGAGGTCATTTAGTTCAAGCCTGACTGTACAGACAATTTTAGCCTTGTGCTACGTTTTTGCATTTTTGTATTCATATCGTATTAAATATCAATTTTTAAAAAATAAATAATTTTCAAGCAGTTGGTAAAATTAATAACACTTAGTCTTTTAATGTTCTGGTAGAGTATTAAAAGCTTTCAATTCTGCACTTTCTAGAAGCCACTGCTGCAGTTTAAAGTAATGGAGATGTATTATCTTTAAAGTTTAGATCACAGTAATCACTGAATTATACTGTACTGTAGGCCTATGCCATATATAAATATTCAGAGTTGATGTTTTCACTAACATCAAAGATTAGGAAGCTGGGATTTAACACCAGATTGTCAACTCCACAGAATTCAAAGTACAGTAATTGTTGCTACTGTAGATCTCAAACAATAGTAACAAAGAAAACCAGAAAGAGTACTTGAGCTTTTTCGCAATGGAAGAAGAACTGTGAAAGGTGAGCAGTATCTATACTCCCCTCTCCATCAATTACAGTAGGTAACAAATACGCTACATAGAAAACAAATGCACATATTTTTTTTAAACAACTACTTAGAGTACTGTATATTGAGACAGAATATCCAAAGAAACGACAAATTACAGTCTTCACTGTAATCAGCTTTTACAACTATTACTAATTAGTACATTTTTTACATGTTTACATATTGTAATGTACAGTACTGTATGTGGTGGCCGGCATGTGGTGAAATTGCATTTTTACAGTTACTACAGTATCACAGGGTCTGGATGGGGTTTGCACTGTGTTTTGGGGGGTTTGCGGGTTTTAGCAATTTTTTTATACAAAAAATGGCCTTTTTACCCCAAAAACATAAAATTATGATTTGTTTTATTAAGATACCAAGTTGAGTACTATACTATGTGATTCAATCATTATCACAGGGTTTGGATGGGGTTTGCGGTGTTTTTTGGAGGTTTGCGGGGTTTAGCAATGTTTTTATACAAAAAATTGTTTTTTACCAAAAAAGTAGGTTGTTACGAATGGAACATTATAATTTTTTTTTCCTGAGATACCAAGTGAGTCCTATACTACATGATTCAATCACTATCATAGGGTTTGGATGGGGTTTGCACTGTGTTTTGAGGGGTTTAGCAATTTTCTTATACAAAAAATGGTCTTTTTACCCCAAAAATAGGTTGTGACAAACATAAAATTAAGATTTTTTTTATTGAGATACCAAGTTGAGTCTTATACTATGTGATTCAATCATTATCAAAAGGTTTGGATGGGGTTTGCACTGTGTTTTTGGAGATTTGCGGGGTTTAGCAATACCCGGGTGATCTGCAATGCAATGTCAGTCTTGAAAAATGACATCACGCACATTCTGGTACTTCATTTGGTGATGGTGACGTAATGATATTTACCGTACCTTTAGCAAATTGAAGTAGAAATACGGTACCGTATCTCTAGCCACAGCCATTAATTAAATATTGAGATGGGATAAGTATAAGTTCAAGACAGATCCTTTAAAACAATTTGGCCTAGAGTAGGCATAGGCCTAAACCCTGTTTGTCCATTTATTGGAGTAGGCTAGAAGATGAACTTAAAATTGATATGCTTTTGCCACAATCTTCTACTAGGCATAGGCGTAGGCTACAGACAGGTACGTCAGTCAGGAGTAACTACCTAGGCCTAGACCCTGTTCTTTGCAGTGCACATACAGTATACAGTCTAGCCTTGGCCTACCAGCAGTAGTGCATGCAGCAAGCACCCAACATCTATGTCATCCACCATCCATGGACCATGTTTGACTGGCCAGGTTTGGTTATGTCGCAACTTCCTTGTTTCGTGATTAATAATAAGAAGATTATTTATTAACGAACCTCAAGAATAATTTATACAATTTCCTTGTATCATCTTAATACTAAGTATATTTAACATAGTAAGATCGTTTCACTAATAAATATCGATTAAATTGCTACGCTACAATTTTACTGACTAGCCTAAACGTAGGCTTAGTTAGGCTAGGCTTGAGAAGTGTTTTTATCAAGGCACGATGTGGATAATGTCGCCACAACATTCAGCCAGAGATCACAACAGCGCGTTTTGTTTGTTGTACTCATTTTGTCCTAAACCACCCTTGAAAATAAAGAAAAAAAAGCAAACCTCTTGATCTTTTCCTTTGTTCTTAAAATGTTTTAACCTGCTAACAGACAGTCCATCTTCGTTATTCATATCAAAAGACATCTTTGATGAAATATGCTCCAAAGATGATCGTAAAAATCCAAAGCAAAGCAAGTCACACTTCGTAAAGAACTACGAAATGAGCAGGCTATACGGACCTTCCAAAATGCCGGCCAATAAATGACGTCATTATAATGCGTCTATCATGTTTATAATCAAAGATTCTATTGGTTACTTCTTATAAAACTCGTTTTAAATTTAAGAAAAGTCTTGTCAAACACTATGAAAAAGATAGACAATATAATAATTGCTCAATAAAAATTTAGCTATTGATATGTTTTATCACTAATTATTCAAATCATGTAAAGTAACTGTATTTCCTGCTCATTAATCGAGCCAATCAATGGCGCTGTAGCTTCAATGGCGCGTACTGAGGAGTTGAATTATGGGAGAATGTGATGTTTAATGGCGCAGCAGACCAGGCGGCGTTCGTGTGTGTAGATGAGAGGCTACTGAACATGGCAGCTGGTCGTCTTCTCTAGGAAACTAGTAGACTAGGCTAGGCCAATAGCCAAGTTGTTGTTCAGTTCAGTGAGTGCTCAATCATGGCCATACTTTTTCCATCCTGTAACAATATAAAATACAAGGTGCCTAGGCTATATCAGGTGTCGGTTTAATGAATTAGGCTAGGCCTAGCCCCCTGTCTGTAGTGGCTAGCCTAGGGCCCTAGTTATGGCCAGGCAAGTGCCAAGGATATGCCTAGATAGCTAGAGCCTTCGGCCGGACGTGCTTAGTTAGGCCTAGCCTAGTCACTAGTGCAAACTATAAAAAAAAAAAAAAATAGGGGTGAATTTATCGAAATCAAATGATGAGATTGTTTTTTTTTTTTGTTTTTTTTTTTTTCGTTTTTAATGCCAAAATGCACTGTGTAACATTTTCATTCATTCATTTTGGCATAATAGGTATTAAGGCCAACTCAGACAGCGATTTGTTGTCGTGTCGGGTCTGTGTGAGTTAAACGCAGACGCGATGGTGTGCGTCGGTGGCAGTCGCGTAGTACCGTAGTAGAATATTAAACATGTTTAATATTTCTCACAACGGCTTAAGACTGTCCCCGACGATAAATCGGGCCGGGCTGCGTCAGCCGACGCTGTCTGAGTTGGCCTTTAGTATAAAAACACTCATCAGAAGGCAACATAGAAATGTTGAGAATTGTCTGGAAAAGGAAAAATACAACTTACAAGACATCAAATGAAATAAATTTATTTTAATAATGCCTACTACTGTAAACTAAAACATCAACATTTGAAAAACTAGGATTACATAAATATGACCTACACATAATTATACAAGAAAATACATTGCAATGCAGGTTTTGAAAGGTTTTTTGTACTTTTGATAATAATTCCATGTTTTGAATTAGGTCTACAGTCTTGGAAAATCCAACCAGTATGACAACTAACAAGCACTTGGGCGTGCCTATACAGTTACTAATTGCGCATATTTCATTTCTGAATTCATGACAGTTTTGTGTCCGAGTTAATCTAGGGTTTCGCTCGATTGAAATGGTATCAGCTCCAAAGTGGCACCTGCTCGAATTAGCATTCGCTCAAAGTGACATCCACTCATTGACTGGTTTTGAGGCCTACTGTACTCCTAGAGTATCAACAATATAGGCAATAATGATAATACTGTAGGTCCTAGCCCTGTAGTTACTCAAAATGAGTTACTAGTAGTGGTTTAAACCAAACAACACCTTAATGTATGTATCCCTGGCGCAAGTTTTTTCCAATGAATTCATAAATCAGGATGTATGTATTTTTTTTCTTGTGTACTATATTTATATAAAATTTATTCTAATGTATTTTTAATTATTGTGTACAAATCAACGCAATTCAACTTCTTTTGGAAGTTGCGAACATGATTTTAAATAAACTTTGAACTTGAATGTCAAAAAAAGACCAAAAGATGGGGACCTAAAACGGGTTTTTGTGTCTAAGCCCCTTCAGGGGCAAAGACACTATGTTGTCGTTTGGCAGTTAAAGATGGCTGAAAGGGTAAATCCGGTGGAGGGGCATGATGGACCTTATTACTGTACAAAAGTCATTAAAAAAATTTTAAAAAGTAGCCATATTATGGAATGTAGTAATAGGCCTAGCTAGAACAGCTACTGTATCAATGTATCATGCTTAAAATTGTCTTTTCAAAAAATTGTGCTTTTTCCTATTTGTTCTCTTATTATTAGGCCTAAACCTTTAATGCCTACTGTATAATGCATGAACCAAGTGGTTGATCCAGGCACTACACATCTCACAAATCATCTTCTTAGCCTGTGGGTTCAGGTTTTGCCTAAGTTGGGAAGTGGGAGGGGGGAGTGTATCAGTTTTGAGTGAATTAACCGCTTAAAGGACTCGGAATTAACACATATCTTGCTGGCAGTTACCGTACCATTGCCTACATAATCTATGCTTAATTATTAATTTTAATAATTTACTTTTTTATAGTTTTTGATTGAATATAAATATTGAAAACGTCTGAAGATGAATAACAAGAACTCGTATGTGAGTGGTAATAGAAAGCGTTCCTGGAGCTCAGGCAACGGTGGAGATGAAAACTGTATAGCTAATAGAAGACGGGGCTTGCCAATCTATTCAGCAAAGCAGAGATTCCTTTCTGAAATACGGCGAACGCACACAGCCATTGTCATAGGGGAGACAGGCAGTGGGAAAACAACTCAAATTCCACAGGTAAGTTCAGATTCAATTTCAAATGAAAATTATTTGGGAATTTGAATGCCTCTCTCAAATGAGCACCCCTCAAAAACATTTCTCAACAATAACTGCCACAGGGCTTTATTAGAATAAATACGGTACTTTTCTCAATGAATAAAATAATATATTAAATATGTTAAAGCATTAGAAAATCCAGTAAAGTGCATTAATAAACAATTACTTTAATGTCAAGTTTTGAAGGTGCTACTATATTGGAAAATACAACACAAAGAACAGTCCCATTGCTTGAAAACAAAAAATTCTATACATTTTCCAGTCCCATCATTGGTCAACCCGAAGAACTATTATATTTACACACAATTATATTAAAAATGTCCTTTTCCTGAATAAAATTTTATACTATGCTACTATTTTTTTTTTTTTTTTTTTTGCTTGATTTTATTAGACTTTATTTTTCTTATCCTTCAAGTATTTATTAGAGAGTGATTTAGCTGGGTATGGTGTCATAGCTTGTACGCAGGTGAGAATCTTAATGCTGTTTATCAGGTAATCAGTGACAGTATGCCCATAGATAATCATGATGTGCCTATATGGTCATGATGTGATGTAATGACCATATTTAGACATAAAATTTAGGAGTCTCGGGACAGGGCTTAATTCCTGTTTATACTTCAATGATAAAAAAGCTAAAATGCAATTGTTCATATAGAAAATAAGAGTTTTTACACTAGAACGATTTGATAACGATTTATCAGTTATGCGATAACAATATATTTTGACAAATCAAATCAGATGACGTCATAATCATGGAAAAACATTAAAATCGTAGTAGTAGCAATGATTTATACCCCTCACACACTTCACACTCTCATTAATGCAGGCCTGTATAATAACAATTACAATTATCATTGTTAGTGTTTAATTTTCATATTTTTTTTACTACTATACTGTATAGATTTTTTTTCTATATTATAGTTATTTAATTCTTTAATGTTATATCATGATTTGAAATCTTGAATGATTGCCAATGGACCAGTATTAATTTATCACTTCTATTCAATTTTAAAATTTATAATATTACAACAATTGTTAGATATTAAAAGTATTTTGTATAGTAAAACTGTAGTTGCATTTGCTAAATTATTTTATATTTACAAAAATACGTATTGTCAATTATCATAAACTGATTTAATATGTAATTGTAGCCACGTCGTGTTGCAGCTATTACTATTGCTGAACGTGTTGCGCTTGAGCAGAATTCAGAACTTGGAGATGAGGTAAATTGAAAATCAATTTTTAATAAAAATTAAAATCTCTTGCTTGAGTTTTATCATCTTTATCTTATTATTAATATCATATTTTTTAATAATTTCATTTATAATCATAATTATGATTTTATTTGCTTAATTAATAATACAACAAAAAACATACAATTTACATAAAAATACATAAAAAGATAATAACAGTATATAATTATATAATTGTTTAATTTAAATAGCATTGTATTTGTTAATGCATCATAGTATCACAGTGTGAATCTGTAACTACTGCTCTATTTGTATAATTTATTTATTCTTAAATTTATAATGTTGTAACTTAGGTTGGTTATTGTGTTCGCTTTGATGATACCACTTCATCGAAAACTCGGATCAAAGTAAGCCTTTATCTTTTCTGTGTTAAATATAAAGTTGCTGCTGTCTTTAAATTTTGTTTGATTTTATTTACTTTATTCCATTATCTGTAACAATTTTTCACTCAATTTCTTTTTGTGCTTATCTAGCATCCAATCAACTTTTTGCTCATTATTAGTAAAATGTACATATAAAAACCTAGTAAGATTAATAATTATGAACATGCCGAAAAGAGATTGTTAGGTAGACTGATCAATTAGAAACACAAATTATTGTCTTAAAATTTAGAACAGGGAAGGAGATGGTATATGCAGCAGCCTGCACTATGTTTATTTCTGTTTCTGTTATTTATGTCATTAATAATAAATTTAAGAAATATATTATAGAAGTTGTAATATACCAAATAAATAATTATTTTGATTTAGAATAACAATATTATATTAATTATAATTCATTTTTTAGTATATGACTGATGGTATGCTTTTAAGAGAATCGATTCTTGACCCTGTATTAAAAAAGTAAGATATAATCTTCAGTAAACTTTTTGTATATTTACAGTGTTATTTTAATTGTTATTTCATTCGTTGTTACAATATATTGTGTATCAGAGATCTCTTGATTTTAGGTAACTAGAGATAAGTGTGAGTGAGTTGTCAGTTGTTAATAACACATGGTTCCCACAATATCATCTTATATTTAATCCCAAATATTTTTATGTTGTTCTTATACGGTATTTTTGTTGTTACGTTTTCAATGTGAATGTTATTGAATACTTAACATAACCATGTGTTTACACTGTCATCAAGGTATTCTATTATTATACTGGATGAAGCCCATGAACGGACTGTCCACACTGATGTCTTACTTGGTATAGTGAAAGGGGCGCAAGAACACAGAACGCACAGTATTCATCCACCACTCAAGGTAAATAGTGAATTTAACTTGTGTTGAAACCATGTGGCGTAGAGGTAAGACTGTAGGCTTTTAATCGAGAGGTTGTGAGTTTGAGACCAATGCTAGTCTCCATGCGTGTGTTCATTTTATCTATGTTAGCCTTTCTTCACCCAGGATTACCTGGAGGAGCCGATTATTTCAGAATGAAAGTGATAGGAGGTTGCATATTATATGGTTGATTTTGTTTCATTGACCTAGAAAAAAAGTGTCTTGCTTTTTCCAAAGTAGATAAACATGATTCCTAAAAAATGTGAACATATAAAAATGCAAGGAAATGTTGTGTCCTTAAATGCATTTTTTTTTAATCACAGGTGATTGTAATGTCAGCTACGATGGATGTGGATCACTTTTCCCACTATTTCAACCAAGCACCTGTGTTCTACATCCAAGGAAGGCAGCATCCAATACAGGTGTGTATTATGCAAATTATCTAATAAATTAGTTCAAAATCTGCCTATTATTAAACTTAATACACCATACTCTTCAGTCCATGACCGAATGATAGACCAGTCTACCACTGTATTCATTATTAATTCATTTGTTCATTCATTCATTCATTCATCCATCAGATTCATACATTCATTCGTCCAATCATTCATTTATTCCTTTTATTTATTAATTTTTTTTATTTCTTTAGGCACATGGCCAAGGATTATCAATAGCGATTTAATCACTGCCCTATTAGTTAGGTGACAATCTCTTCACATGACAAACATGATGCTTTATAGACCAAGTCTCATGAAGCTTAGGGAGTGGAGTTGTTTTGGTCGTGAGAAAAAATCCTGTTACCGTGACAGCAATTGAACCAAGGACCCTGGGAATGGAAAGCAAACATCTTAACCACAAATCTATTTTCTGTTTGACCTCGCTAGCTAGTGTTGTTTGGTCCAGGTTAGGAGGCACCTGATCCCAGAAAAGATCAAGACTGAACCGATGCTAACCGGAGTACATAAACACAGATATCCGGTTAGCGGTGATGGTGAAACCCCATACTTCGGTTTGGGTGCTAGCTTCGTGTTTATTTTATTTTATTTTTTTTTTTTCTGCCCCTTTTTTTTTTTTTGCCCTTTTTTCATTGTTTTCTTGTCTGCAATATTGTTGAGCGCATAGAGACCTCGTTTATTTGCGCTATATAAATCTATCTATTATTATTATTATTCAACTCCAAGCTATTGAAATCCTCTTTCATCTAATATCTGTTCACAATCTGTTGTACCTACAGTTACTCTATGCAAGTGAACCCCAAAGTGATTATATCCATGCAGCACTTGTAGCAATATTTCAAATCCATCAGAAAGCACCAGCAGAGTGAGTTAATAATTTAATTGGTGCATGTTAAAATAATTGTGGCAAAGACAAGCCAAACCAGTCACTCGTCGCAAATCCTGTTTCGGAGACAATGGCCAAAACATGCTGGAATGTCAAAATTTTGAAAATCTACTTTATTGCACTAAACTTACCTTTATTTATCTATACGTCATGCTATGCCTTTATTTTCTCCATTTTGAATGTTAACATAAAAATTTTTAAAGAATTGGTGATGGTTTTTGCCTAAGAAATTCCCGAAATCGTAAAATTTAAAGGCTGATTTTTCAAATAATGTTCTTTATACAGTTCTATGTTTAAACTCTTGTAACTTCATAACAAAATGTTGGATTTCAATGATTCTTTTACTATTTTATAGCTCTCATTTTACTGTTTAACCCTGTATTAATAACTAAAAATCAATTTTTGCAGCAAGTGACTGGTTTGGCTTGTCTTTGCCACAGTTAAATAACCACTAACTAATGATGTGTTTTGCTCTGATGTTAGCATCTTCTAAAAATAAATATTTCTGAAATGAATAGTTTGTATTAGATGATTTGACCAGCAATCTTAGACCAATATAACCATACATTAATTATTTTATATAATTACAAATATCATCAGCTTATGAAATAGTAAATTAGTATAATTTCAGTGTGTTCACACTCTTTCAACTCATTTCTCTAACCGAATGCTTTAAAGTATTTGATTTTATTGTGTTTATACTATCACACAATAAGTAAATTTAGGCTAGGCCTAGTAGAGCTCTTCAATCTAACTACTTTTCCAAACTGGGTTCATATATAATGTTTCATTACCCTGCTTTAAAGTAAAATAAATATAAAATAATACAAAATAATTAGATTTTTTTTTGTTTCCCCTTATTAGGGAGGATATACTTGTATTTCTAACAGGACAGGAGGAGATTGAATCATTACTGAAAGCTGTCAAAGATGTTGCACAGGATTGTCCAGATGGTGAGCGCCCTCTGTTGTTCTGTAAAACTTTCATCCAGAGATCTTATAAACACAAGATAGCGCTCTCTGCAATTCTACGCGTAACAAATGCGAGCGTCGATGTTCAGTAAAAAGAAGCATAACAAGTAATCACTTTTGAGAGAGGGCGTCCTAGTGGTTACCATGGCTGTTACAGAATTTGCACGCAGATGTGCTATCTTTAGTTAACTATTTCTGATGTCAAGCTTGTAAAGTAATTACTTTTGCAAGAGGGCGCTGTACACTGCATTATTACAGAATTTGCACACGGAAATCACGGAGAACGCTATCTTTTTTTTTGACTTAGCACCCTCTATTGGCCACCTGTATTGCTTTTCCTCACAGATCTCTATCTGTAAAATGAGCATGCTCTTTTTTTTCCAGAACACCCTCTTCTGTAAAGACACCATTTGTTTAAAGTCTTTTTCATGACCACCCTTTACTTTTTCATAAGAGCACCCTCTATTGTTCACTTGCGTTACAATACTGTGATGTGTAATATTATTTTGATTCATCTTAGATTGCCCAGGTGTGCAGGTTCTACCATTGTATGCATCATTACCTCCATCAATGCAAATGAAAATATTCAACCCAGCTCCGAGGGTAAGTGATTATATTGTGAATGTTGGTATTTGATGGGTTTGTACAGTATATAGTGCATAATATGATTGTAGTTATTCTTATAACTTATTATTGCCTGTAGTCAAACAATATATACAACTTATAGTTTAATCTATACAAGTATAATTTAACCTGTCAAATAATTATATGAGAATGCATAAATTATGATAATTAGCCATATAAACTTTTCATCCAAAGGGAAAAAGGAAAATTATTCTGTCAACAAATATAGCAGAAACGTCTGTTACGATTCCAGGAATTAAACATGTTATTGACACAGGGCGTGTGAAAGCAAAGTGAGTTGTTGATCTCAGTTATGTATACCCTTCACCTATATACTGCCCTCAATTCATCAACTTACATTTACCGATGTTAAGCTATGTTATGTCTTTCAATTCGTTTTTATTTTAATGGTATAGTAGTTATGTTGCTTACCTAAAGTTTCAAAGATTCTGTAATTATTTTATTTAAACACCACCCTCACAAAATACTGTTGAAATAAAATAATGATATATCATTTATGGTAAAGTCATGTGAAAAATACACTTTAAGAACATTGGTTTTCTCTTAAAATTAAGAAAGTAAGTTATTACCTCCCAATGAGACACAGACTGAATGACAAAACTTAAATTGATTATCAGATAATTTAAGTATCTAGGGTCTATATAAAGAATATCTAGGCAATGTTTTATGTATTCAGCTGTTATAAAATACAGGTAATTAAAATATTGAGGCTTCATAAGAAATTCTTGAACTGACCTCTTTCTACAATAAGTTGTGTGCTGCCTAAGATGTAAGATTATGTATTGCTATAACTAAAAGGCTAAATTATTGATTACTGAGACTTTCATTATTCCTTTTTTCTCTCTGGAATGCAGAAGTTTCAAAGCTGGAAGTGGTCTTGATATCCTGAGAGTCCAAAGAATATCACAAGCACAGGCCTGGCAGAGAATGGGAAGAGCTGGAAGAGAGAGTAGGTAATTAATCAATTCATTAATAACAAGTAATTAATGGCTTTAATGAATTATTTTGTCACTATTCTTCAAAATAATAGATAGGATATAGGATAAAAAGATAAATTGGTTTCTCTTCCTCATTCGCTTTGTTTTTTCTGCTACCACAATTTTCTTTACTACAGGAATAATGAACTGATTTGAATAATCTGATGACCACAGGAAAACAAAACATTTCACTTTAATTGAAGAATCATCAAGAATGATAATTCTTTAATTAAAGCAAAAAGTTTTTAAAAATTGTCACATCATTTTAGAGTCACCTGCATTTTATTTGCACAAAAGCAAATTTCTCCTTTTTCTTTTTACCAAGACTAAGGTCAAGGACCTAAATTTTTCTTTTCAACTTGGCATAATGTTTCTTTTTTTTTTAACTTATTTTGACATATTAGAATAAACTCATAAATGATATTATTTTTTTTATTTTCTAATGCCTTGATAAAAAGCTATAAATACATGATCAAGTGTGTCTGTGATTAAATATAGCCCTTTTACTATCATATTGTTATCATTTTTTTCAAAAGTAATATTATATGTGTTTACCGACATTTTTGCATTCTTGTTAATATTTAATAAATTTAATTTGTGCCTTCTCAGTGGCAATTGTTGGCGTTTGTATACTGAAGAAGAATATGAAAATCTGAAACCAAATACTGTACCAGAAATACAAAGGTAGGATGGCAAAGTACCCTAGTAGAAGCAAAAGCATAATGTACACAGGGGTTTCCCTTAAGGTTTTCTTTAACTAGCCAAGTGGACCAGTAAATTAATACTTTTACTGGTCCTCAATCCCTTTCACTAGCCACTATCTTGCCAACTTCGGAAGACCCAAATACCATATTTTTCACATGCTAATCATGCTGCCCACCCCCACTGATGAAGTAACACTGACAGATACAGAAAAATCTTTCTGTTGTCATACAGGAATCTATTTGTATGTACAGTGCACTCTCACAATACGATGTTCGCTACGATGTTCGGTTTTCCGGAAAGATCGGTTTGTGGAACATTTCTATTGAATCCTTTCCGAATAAGGCAGGCCAGTTAGGGCCTAGCCTAGGCCTAGACGCTAAAAATAGGCTTAGCAGCATAGGCTAGCCCAGTGAATTCAGTATGACTAGCATACAAAAAAAGTTAACGTTTAACATATAATACGTACAGTACCTGTTGTTTAGCTGTAGTGCACAGCAAATTGTATAACTGTACCAATAAAATGAATGCTTTTATATTGTTTTTACGTGCATTTTCGGTCTGACATTTTTTTCTAAACTGTAAACAACACATTCTTCGTGGTCACAACGATGCGACTTGTTGTAAATATCAGGTTGCACCTCCTAAACTCTTCCCGCTAATTGGTTAATTTTTTTCGTGGGGTCATGTTGCTGGGCAAAAATCCCATGTGCTTGGCTGTGGTGACGTCAGATCGCCCAAAGTTTCAAAGTGCGTGACAGCTTGCTGACAGGAACAAGCTTAGCGTAAACCGATAAATTTTTAATTAAACAAATTTATTAAAATTTAATAAAAATTTTTCTCGTGGTTTTGTTTTAGAGTAAAATCTAAAAATAAATTTAACAAATTAAAATTTCATTCTCTGTAAATTCCCTCCGTAATTAGCAATGTTTTTGGGGAATGTGAGTGTAATTTACATGTAGACTGATATATGAATCTAATGACATACCAAATCCGAATTAATAGATAATCTCCATGGCAATGCTATTGGGACTGTACGAACGGTTCATTTACAGGGTGTGATTATTGCGTTATTTCGTCTGGAAATCGTTGCGTTGTTTATTAATTTTTTGTCCCACGTTGCATTGTGGGATGGATACATGACATGGATGTTTTAACTTCACGGTGTTCACACAGACGGAAATCAACTTCTCCTTGTCGCCATAACATGCGGAGAAGGTGATTTCCCTCTGTACGTCTAGCCATGGATTCCTCTATGGTCTAGGCTAGTGCGTGATGTTCATCGGTTCGCCTTGAATGACTGAGACCGAGGCTGTTCGTAGCAGACATTAACATGACAATAAGCAGAAAATAGCGATCTTGTTGACATTATCTGTGTGAAATATGTTGTAAAGACATCGTTAAGAGGTGAATGATTAAAGCTTTAGGTATTTCGTCATTCTTTCATTGACATTTTAACTGGTCACGCGGACTTGTTATTGGGATAATTAACAGGTCCGCCATGCTTTTTACTAGCCATTGGCCGGCGGACCAGCGTTATTTCGAACCCTGATGTACAGTATAATTAAAACTTCATTATTGTTAGTGTTGTTGTTGTTGCTGTTGTTAAAGTTATTAATATTTTAAATATTTTTAGTGTTATTGTTATTATTTATACTACCATCATCATTAAATGGCCATTTTGTGAGTACTTACCTGGATAAACTTGAAGTGAAGTTTCCTTTTGAAATTTACCCCTCTGACAATGAGAAAATTGAAAAGGACTACATTCATTAGGTTCGAAAGCTTCACAAAAGAACTTGCAATTATTGGTTCTTCTAGGTTATCTCACTAATAGACACAATAGCACTGTTGATTTGATGATTATCTGCATTTCATGGATCCATTAGTAGTATTGCATTTCTGTGATATTGTATCATAATTAGGGTTTTATTATTATTATTATTATTATCATCATCATCATCATCATCATCATCATCATCATCATCATCATTATTATTATTATTATTATTTTATTATTATTATTATTATTATCGTTATTTTTGTATCTTTCTCTTTCATGCAGATCCAATCTAAGCAGTGTAGTTCTGCATCTTTTGTCTTTGAATATCCGAGATGTGTTGCACTTTGACTTTTTAGATCCACCATCAAAAGAGGTATAGTAACCATATTTTACACAGTCTTTCGAACCCTTGAATTGTAAGTAAGTGTCTTTATGATGCTTAGTGAGGGAGTTGGGAGTGAATTATTAGGGACCCTCAGAGTTCTACAGTTAAGTCCCTTTACAATAATTAAGAATGGAGCTGATGGTTTAGGACCCTTAATGCTCTTTAACAAAGTGTCTTCATGATGTTTAGGGAGTAGAGCTGATGGTTTAGGACCCTTAATGCTCTTTAACAAAGTGTCTTCATGATGCTTAGGGAGTAGAACTGATGGTTTAGGACCCCTGATGCTTTTTAAGGCTTGGTGAGTGGAAAGATGATCATTTGGAATTCTTAATCTGAAAGGTCTTTGGGAGCAGATAATCTGTGACTCATGATACTCTATCATCAAGTTTCTTTAAGGCTTTGTGAGTGGAGAGTTGATGTCTGAGATTTTTAGTAATCTAAAAAGAAATCTCCTGATGTGACTTGGAAAGTAGGGTCATGCTTATTTTGTTATTGTGAGAATGCATTTTGAAGGCAAGCCCCTTAACTCCATGCTCTATGTTGTAATTATAGGCAGATCTAGAATTTGTTTAAAACCAGAGGACAATATAGTAATTGACACACCGGCTTCCCAGTGAGCCATCTTTGAAACCCGCCAAAACAGATTCATTGCTTGAATCAACACTCTTTTAAAGACTACATTTACTCGTTATATTTCTGCTACTATCATTTAATATGACAAACATTAATTCTACTTCATTTACAGAATTTGGTTGATGCCTTAAATCAGTTGGAATTACTAGGAGCTATGCAGCAGAGGAACAACAATGAGGTAAAAAGAATTGTTTAAACTTCTCTCACCTTATGATAAAGGCTTGATGTTCCCAAGGCTGGCATACATTATTCCCCAATATTCAAATTAACCTATTAGAATAATAGATACAAGAAAAAATAATGATACAAAGAAATTGTGTTTCCTGTTGCTGTACAATTGGACAATATTCATCAATACATTAATAATTAATGCAAATATTGTTTACAATGACATTTGAAATGTTTCCTATCCTTCTAGTTGACATCACTTGGGAAGCAAATGTCAGTCTTCCCATTGGAACCAAGGCTTTCAAAGATCTTAATTTCCTCAAGACAGTACAGTTGTTTGTGAGTACATACTTAGCATTTACACTTGTGTGAGCCCTGTATCTTAGATGGTACAACCTCTGTAATGTAATTGTGGTGCTACATAGTATTTTGCAGCCCAACATCTGTGTACAAAGTTAGGGCCTGCAATAATTCATGTATGTTTATATTCCAGGGATGAGGTTCTAGCTATTGTTTCTATGTTGTCGGTGGAATCCATTTTAATCACACCAAATAACAAGGTAATTATTCTCAGCTTAGGATCTTTTTTTCCTAAACCGTGATCGCACTGGACCATGGGTACGATCCAATAGTTAAATATTTCCCCTGTCCACACTTGGCTTTTTTGAAGTGAGTTGGTTTTACTGCAAGAAATGGTAAAACTAACCGAGCCATGAAATTTTACTATTGAGGGTGCTAACCCATGACAACTCCATTGAGTAACGCTTAAAGCTTAAACTAGACACATGTTTCGCATTGAGGATTTAGCTATGTGTGTAACTTACCTGGTATTTTACTGGGCACAATTCACTCAGTTAAACTAAATGCAAGTCTCGGTAAGTTTACCCGAGAGGTAAGTTTCCTGGGCTATTCGCATTGGACTAATTATGTTTTTACTGAAAAATGTCCAGTGCGATTGCAGCTGTACAGAGACATACTTTTAAAAAGATGATTATTTATTTGTACATAAACATGGTTGTCTTTATATTTTTTCAATATGTTGTATTTTCCTTCATTATGGTCTCCATTCAAATTTCTTCAGCTACACTTTCTGCCATTACATGATTTACTATCCACCCCCTCTGTAATTCCTTATATTTATTATCCTAAATCTCACCAACAGAGGGAGGAGGCACATGCTGCAAGGAAGAAGTTTCTATCAAGTGAAGGTGATCACATCACCTACCTCAACATACATAAAGCATATAGAGGAGTTGGCGGCAATAAGGTAAACATTGTTTGACTTGATTTTACTCTATATAGGATGTAAAAAAAAAATGTTTCTGTAGGGAAACCTATACATCCCCCTTTTTGTTCAAACATGAAAAAATATACTAAATGAATGGCAAAAAATACCAATGTAAGATACTTCAGACGTTAAAAACCAATTTACTGTGTAGTCATTATTATGCCCCTACTGTAATTTTGCATGTTGCATAAAGTTGTGGATGTAATATTTCTGTTCAACACCCCCTGCCCCCTTTTTCAAAATCCTGGATATGCCACTGCTGTGAGTACATTGAAATCGGTGCTTTTTGGATGTGGAAAGAACATGTCCAAATACATAACCTTTGCTTTCTCTTTGTTTTGGTGGCACTTTCAAGATCTTGTCTGACCGCCTCGTGGATTGTATTGTGCTGTCTTGTGTTGACATTAAAAAAAAGAAAAGGATGGACAACTTCCAAGAATTTTAACTGTAGTCTTGGCCATGGTTGATCACTAAATGCTTCCCCTGCTTCACTAAATATGGTTGGGTGCGGAATTGGGTTTTTTTTTGGGTTTTTTTGGCTTGTTTTCTTGAGAAGATATTTATATTGTGCATGTTTTAGATATGTATACTGATATTAACCATTGATATTATCATTAAGTTTGACTACATTGATTATACCACAAAATGTTTTATTTTAAAAGAAAGTTTTCATGAATTGTTTATTAGGACTGGTGCCATGACAATTTCATTAACATCCGTAGTATGAAACAAGCTGAGGAAATTCGTAAACAGTTGAGGGATCTGTGCATTCGTGAAAATATACCTCGTAGCACTTGTGGAAAGGACACTACATCCATCAGGTATGTCAACATCCAAGTCTTTAAAGCCGGCCCTCACTGCGTTGTTCAATGGTCGTTCGACCGTCAACCGCCAAATCCAGCTCTGTTTAATGTAAGCACTAGACTACACAATTCTGTCTGCTGATTATCGCTGGCAGTCAGAACAGATCTTCATTGGTCTTTGTTTGTGAGACTGTACTATTGTGATGCGTGGGGTTCCTGCATGATGACCAATTTTATGCCTACCACTGTTTTCCTAAATAATTGAGGTTTGGCTTCATAGCCGCAAGAGAAAGGCGCAATATACATACCCATTACCTTAAGAACAAACTGTTGCACATGCTTCATCACACTGCGTTCTCCATAAAATCGCGTCAGCTGATGTCGGTTGGGCAGAGTGAGTGCCCGACTTTAGGTATCATTAAGATGTTGGTTTTTGCAATCCCAGGGCCCTGGGTTCAAATCCTGAAGTAATAATTCTCACGCGAGTTGAATGTGGAGTCTAGTAGTCAGTTATGTTTTTCATTACAGCCAGTCAAAATACGGTTCAGTGTGTTTACATTTTTAGCTGTCATAGAAGGTTGCATGAGCTTCATATTAATTATGACATCTTATAAAAGAGTCTAGTGCATTTTTTTTTTTTTTGTAGGAAATGTTTGACAGTGGGTTTGTTTATGAATGCTGCTGAGCTTCAGAGAGATGGAACATACAAAACTGTAAGTATATATCAGAGATACAATCTATTAATGCCTTACCTTACCTATCCTCGTTTTTTCTACTGACATAAGGCCTCCACACTCTGTTTCCATTTTAGTATGTTGCTGGGGCAGATGCGGTGGGGGTGCAGACGGTGTGATCGCACCCCCCCTAAATTGTATAAAGAAAAAATAATTGTATTTTTGATATGATTTACCAGTAGGATTTTTAAGATTCAAATTCAAGAACACTTTATTGTCCATTTTTAAAATAGGAAATTTGTTTTTCCTTTGCAACATTCTTGGTTAAGAAGGATAAAATTACATGTAAAATCACAAGATAAACCAACTTGGCAATGACGGGAAATACGTTAAGATATTAACAAGTTAAATAGTAAAGTAGTAAAAAAGTCATAATAGAAATCACTTTTTGGCTATAAAATTAAAATTGAATATTGCATCTGGAATAAATTAATTCCTAAGGTTAAGGTATGAGAGTGCTGTTTCCGGGCACCTGGAGGTCCATATTCTTAAAATTTTCCCAACCATGTTGGGGCTGAGGTGGTGTGGACTCTCAGCCACCCCCTACCACCAAATCCTGCATCCACCCCAGTGTTGGCTGCTGTCACTCTCACCTCATTCCGCGATGTCCATCCCTGATCTTTCTTCTCTCTACTGTGTTTCTCCATGTAGTTTTTGGTCTTTCCCACATTCCTTCTTATTTTCTTTTTCTTGCAATAATGCAATTTGTTATAATATAATATATTTTTTTTTGTTTTACAAATTTGTTTTTATGTGTTTTTATTCTAATTAAGACTTATACCTGGCAATTTGCAATGTTAATTCATTCTTATTAATATTATAATTAATGTGTATTCATTATAATTCATTTTCAGCTTGATAATAACAGACATACAGTTAGCATCCACCCATCGTCGTGTTTATTTCAATGTAAACCTGCCTATGTCCTTTACCAAGAGTTGGTCCACACTTCTAAGTGTTACATGCGGTAAGGAATTTTGCTGTTAGTCTTCTCATACCATGTATTGAACAGGTGTATTAGTATCATTGTATTTAACCGTGCTAATCATTTGGTACCATTTGACCTCTTTCAGTTATTAGTGTATTGAGTGCAATTCTGTGAATTGTGTGTTGATTTTGATGAAATTGACAAGTGAATAAAATTATAAATCAAGATAATTAATAAATGCAATAATTGATTGGTGGATGGATTAATTGATTGATTGAGTGACTGCCTACATTATCTCTTACCTGATCCCAACCCATTTAATTATAAGAAAATCTGAAGAATTCTCCTACCCAAAAGTTAAAACAAAGATTCAAAAAATTCACATTAAACATTGGTCTGTCGTCATTTCAGTCGTCTGCATGGGCCTGCTTTTTTTTTGTTTGCGAATGTCATTTTTTAATATCTTAATGATTTTTATTGTCCATATTGAATATTTATATATTACCTGTACAACTAATGAGTGATTGTTGAGCCTTAATTGTATTTTTTTTTTTTTTTTTAATGATTCTATAACAATTCTTGATGTATTTGCATTTGTAGTAACTTATGTGTAGTTGACCCTGATTGGCTTAATGATGCTGCCCCAAGTTACTTCAGAAACAGATGTATCAGTCGGTGATGGTCGATCATTTGCATACAGATATACCAGTCAGTGATGAATGTTCGCATACAGATGTATCAGTCATTGATTATTTGCATACAGACCTGTCAGTCAGTGATATCATTTCATACAGACTCCTTTGCATACAGATGTGTCAGTCGGTGATAATTGTTTGCATATAAATGTATGTCATTGATGATTATTTGCATACCGACGTGTCAGTCAGTGAAGATCATTTGCTTACAGACAGATGTGTTTGTTGGAGATGATAATTTGTACGTACAGTTTAGTCGACGAAATAAATCAGTGCAGACATTAAAAGTAACTTCAGAAACAGATGCGTACAGATGTGTTTGTTGGAGATGATAATTAGTATTAGCCAGTCGATGAAAAAGATCGGTGCAGACATTAAAAATACGGGTATGTTTGTTTGAACATAAGGACACATTTAATCCAGTCAATGAAACCAAACAAAAATTTTTGTTTAGGCCACATTTTGGGAAAGTAAAAAAAATGGGTAGGTCGGTAGGAAAACTTTTTTTTTAAACTAAAACGCTTAAAAAGTAGGAAATAGACAAATAATACAACAATTTTGGATTCGCATCGCATACCATGCACCAAAATAGGCTAGGCCTTGGCCCCTATCCTAGTCCAAGGCTATTTCAGCCTTATAAGCTTATGAAAAAAAATGATTGTTCCTTGCATTCAAAAATAAAAAAAGCTAAAATGCCGACCCTGAATTTTGTAAAATGTGGGTCAGTCGGGCGTGGCCAACACAATATTTTTTATTTGGCCTGATACAGACACAAATAATGTTGGTTATTATAGTCAATGATATTGTTACTGTTATTGATGCTGTAAAAAGTAGTAGGAAAAATTTCAACCACTACAGTACTGCCAATATTCCTGCTGCCTTGTGCTAGAATGTTTTCTCTATTACAATGTATATTTGATGAGATTTGTAACATACAAATGATAAAGTCATTACTGATAATTTAAGAAAAAAAAAAGAGCAGCATCACCACATATGGTACTGCATTTGTTGGTTTCACAAGTCTTGCCAAGTAAATGTCAGTCACAACAATATTTATTAAAAAATGATAGTAGTAATGATTTTAATTTTTAAAATACAGTATAAATGCCAAGAAGTGGAATTTATCATAATATAATCAGTGAACATGAGATTGCAGGCCTATACTATTGCTTCAATTGATAAAGCTAAAATATTATTTTACTCTTGTAGATAATTTAATCACGAGGAATACATTCTTACCAAACAATATTTATGTTTTTTAATGTAAATATTAATTTCTTCACTATCTATGGCATCCTAATAATTGTGACACTATGTAATTTTAATTTTGTTTTCAATAAAACTATCACATTGTAACAGAGTATTCATTGGTTTTATATAAACTAGTCATTAATCACATTGGTCTGCTTCTAAATATAGGAATATAATGAACAACTGCTGGAAAATGCTTACCATGAAAAATGGAAAATACTGTAATTGATTATTTGGAAGAGCAAAAACTTATAACATTATTGAATAATTATTAACATCAAGTTCTACAATCAATAAATAACATCATCTAATTGGTTGATATTCAGGGGTTCCAAGTAGGAAAAATCCACTTACAGATGATTTCGATAAATAAGCTTTCTTAAAGCTATGTCCAGGTTATCGAATTTCCTTTGACAAAAAAAATATTGTGCATGTCCATAAATAGTCATGATGTCCCTATATATGGTCATGTGTTGTCATTATGACCATATTTAGACATGCCACATGTTGCTGTCAAATAAAATTTGATAGTCTGTACAGGACCTAACACATGTAATTTGATTTTACTGCTTGTGATCGACATCACCAGCTGACTTCCGGGAGACAGTTGATAATGCAGTACAGTAGTTGCAGGAGATATGATGGTATAACTATAACGATAGCTCTTTACATATATTTTTATAGTTGTGATTCTGGTTGGTCTCTTTTGAATGTTTTTTGGTGATTTATATTTATACACTTACTATTTATTTAGTTTTATATATATTATTGTTCGATGTTTATAAATGATTTTAACTTATTGAGTATTTCAGTCCTGTTTTAAAATTGCCCCATAATAAATAAATTATTGAATTATAGATGGGTTACCGTCCGAAGATATTTGCTTGCTCGCTGGAATGCGGGAGGCTTTCCTGGTTTCTGGGAGGCTGCTGCTATTCGCAGAAGACTTGGGACGCCTGGCATCAACACACTTCATGTATCAAATTCAATTGAATATACAGTAATTACAATGGTACACACACACATGATAATAAAAGTAGGAGTCATATTAGTCTATAGCATAAAATACAAACAAAATGAATACAGTAGCACCTTCTGTAGACTAACAAAAATTTAATGAAACACAAGCTTTCGCTAGCTTCATCAGGTGAATGAAGTGAAAAGCACATAGTCTAACTGAATAAACTCTAATTATATGCAAATGAGCAATATAAACTTTGTTAGTCTACAGAAGATGCTACTGTATTCATTTTGTTTGTATTTTACACACATGATAAACATTATAGCAAATACAGTACTACGTACAATAATGTAGTGCTACTTACTGTACCACTGTAGCATAAAATGGGCACCATTGCTACAGTATTATAATTTCTATTGTAGAATTACAGCACTTTCAATGTATGCTACAATTGAAAAATATCCAAGCCCTAGTAATAATAATTTGTTGATTTGATGCTACATTTCCACTGATAACATGCTATTGGTATTGTAGCACAAGATTAGCAGTTACTTCATTTGTAGCATAACAATTAACAGAAGCATACTATCATTGATACAATTTAAATTTATAAAATTAACAGCATATCTTTGTTACTCATTAAATACTAATTTTTGTTAATGAATCGAACACATATTCAAAGGTAGAAATTGCAGCATCTTAAGGTGCAAGACAACAATTAACACATTCAAAGTTAACATTTCCTTCCGTTGCGGTATTTAACTTAATCTTAAAAATTCATTGAAACACTCCTTTACAATTCTACATCTCATGTAAATAAATTAAATACAGTATAACCTATGAATTAAAATGATCATTCAGTACATCAACATCTGCATTTACCTTTAAAAATGGTTTGTTTAAGCACATTTTTGTTTTTCAAATTCTAAAAATTAGAATGCAAAAAAAAAAAAAATGTCCTTGCAAATTTAAAAATGCATGAATTTACTTGGTAGATCGGATGAACACAACTTGACCTGATTTTTTTTTTTTTTTTGACCTGACAACAGCGGTGGCTCCAGAAATATGCCGACAGGGGGGTCAAATAAAGCAAGGGTTCATGGTGAGAGTTTTTATGGCTTGTATGACCCAAAATTGTGTGACCACAATAAGTAGGGGTTGACAAGCAAAACAAAGTCATTTGGATAGGCAAATTATAATTTTTGGTCCGATGACTTCGGCCCCAACTCCAACGACCCCCCCCCCCCCCCCCGCCCCCCCACCCCCAGACC